ATGGCTTTATCAGCCTTTGGTAATTCGACCTTCATCAGTTCTTCACGCCTGTCAGAAATTCTTATAACCTCTTCACGATGTCGTGAAAGAGTTTCATGCAGATGGGCTGACTGTGCAGTCAACTCTCCAAGGGCTATGCGACGCTCTTTGAACGCATGCAGCTGAGAAAATATTTTTGTAGAAAGTTGGAGATACGATATGCACTTAAGAAAATTTACCTCTGTTGTTAACTTGTTCCGTTCGGCTACGATGACTTGCATCTCCTCTAGCTCGGTATTCACGGAAGAAATGGAGTTCTAGTGTTAAAATTCATTAGATTTGAAATTGTGAAATGTAAAGTGAGAAAAACCAAGAAAATTAATGGATGTCTAAAAGAAGGATAATCCCGCTCACCTCTTTCGCAGAGAGCTCTTTCTTTAACTCCGAAAATGACTGTGTGTGAGGAGCATGTGCAAGATTTTCTTGCAGATCAGTTATCTCACCATCAATGGTCTTTATAGATGTAAATAGGGAATCCATCAAAGACACGTCCGACTGATAACAGGAATTGTAAGTCATGAAGCAAACATCAAACAACCTTCGAGCATTACCTTAACCTCCAGTAGCAGTTTGTGTTTGCTTAACGCCTTTTCTATAGTCTCCTTCAGCTCTTCCACTTTCGTAGCAAAAGATGCTTCCTGCTTGCGGTAATCACTAATCAGCTTCCTTACATTTCTCACTTTTTCTTCCATAATCTTTCTAGATTACGAGAATCAAAAACGTCTTGTAAACAAACGATTAGTGAATAACCTACTTGCACTGGTCCACATAGACAACAGCGCTAGCAAGTCTGCGCTCTTTTTCTTCAGCCTCAGCAACTTGCTTCTCCAGTCTTTGGATATCATCGGGCATTGATAAACTCATATCTAAGAGCTGAATAGAAGGATAAAATCGGGTATTGCTTTATTCCACTAATTGCCCAAACCTTTCCTGACAGCTCATTGGCACCAGCTTTGCTTGAAAACTTGCGCTCACATAACGGACAACACGAACGCGTTTTCGTCTCCTCACTCCAAGTCTCATAAAGCATCTGCAAACTTAAGAAGTTCACGAAGAAAACAATATTAAAATGAGATCTAAATAATAACTTACAGCCTTAGTACTAAGCGAGGAGAGCTCTTTGCGAGCTTTTGTAAGTAGATGACGCGTTTCAGATAAGTT